GCTGTCCTCACACCCAGAAGCTGCAGTTGCGAGCCCTAGACCAAGCCTGTTCCCCAGCTAAGTCCCTGCCTCAGTCTCAAATGGAACTCGGCGGGCTCTGATCCCAGATCCAGCCTTAACTGCAGCCCCAAGCTCCCCACACGCTTGTCCTTGCTTGTTGAAACTGCGTCTCACGGAGTCCCCATGGCAAGAGACAGGGGTTGGGGGGAAAGTGGGCAGGTGGCAAGAACAGGCTACCCCAGTTGGACTCAAACCATTTCACTTAAAAACCGACTCATCCTAATGCATAAATCATCTAAAATACACGTTTATCAACTTTATAAGACCTCTCAGAACTCTTGGCATAATTTTGGAGTCTATTTACTTGGCTTACTTTAGAGCATTTCAAGAATTTAAAAAAAGCAAATTCAACTAAGTCAGGCCTCTCAAACTTTCATGTCAATCACAGTGACATGGTGTTGGTTAAAATGCAGATTGCCAGCATCCACCCCAGGGGTTCTGACTCAGTGGACCTGGGGAGGGGGCCATGCATTGCCTTTTAGACCAGCACCTGGGTTATTCCGACACAGATGGACAGTGAGCCGAGCTCTGATAAACCCTAAGTCCACTGCTAGGTTTTTGCCTAAGAAGTACTTAAGCATATGTGAGTCGCCCTCTTAACCTGTTTTATGTGTTCTTGCCTCCTTTTGTGGGAGTCAAGTTTTTTCTTTTATTCCATGATTTCATGTGCTGAAACACACAACTTTGTGAAGTGTTGGTTGGTGCTCTAACCAGAAGAATAGGGCCATGCATTCTCTCTTCTAAGCAATTAATTTGATCCCAAAATATTGGCACACATCATTTATGCCAGACTGGAAATATGTAAAATGTTGACTATTGCTAGGTTATTACTTAAAGACAATTTTGAAACTAAAGAAAAATAAAGTAAAAAAAACAAAACAAAAACTACCTCATGGTTTTGCTACCAAAAGACACCCAGTGCAGAGTAAGAATAATGAAAATACCATTACTGTGTGCTTATCATGTGTCAGATATTGTGCTAAGAGCTTTGATGCTTTATGTTACATAACCTCCACAACAACTCTGTCAATTAGACATTATCATCACCATTTAGCAGATGAGAAACTGAGGCCCAGAGGAGATAAGTGGTCACACATCCTAGTAGGTGATATAACCGAGATTTCACTCCAAATCTGCTTCTTTACTATATGGTTATACAAATAACACATCTATACATATAAAAGCCTAAGCGACCGGCCAACCGGCTGACCAGCCGACTGGCTGGTAGCTATGACACGCACTGACTACCAGGAGCTGCTGAGCTGCGGTGACTTGGCAGCTGTGGTTCTCGGGTGATGCACCGGAACCAGAGAGGAGGGAGCCCGATTCTGGGCTGTGTCACCCAAGAACCACCTCTCGCAATCTGGGACCCCTCGGGGGATGTCAGGGAGCCAGTTTTGGCCTGATCCCCACAGGCCAGGCCGAGGGACCCCACTGGTGCACACATCCATGCACTGGGCCTCTAGTCATTTTAGAAAATATTCAGACAAAACAGACATGAAGGACTTTGAAAGTGAAAGTTCCTTCTAGTAGAACCATCTGGAGATAACCAATGTTCTAATATTTGTGTCAATCCTTTTTCTGTTCATATATAAACATATTTATATAAATGCAAATACACACGTGTGGTCTAAAGACTATACACTGTGTTCTTCAACTTAAATTTCTTTTCACTTAGCAGCATACCACAGACTCCTTTCCATCCTCACCACCTCCCCCTGCTTCCCTAGCATGTCATATGTTATATATATTTATACTCATACAAACCTTCAAATGGTGTCATGAAGGCTCGTCTCAGGGTGGAACCCTTAGGAGCAGAGCCTGAGGATTCTTGAGCAAGTGACTTATTGAGGTTGCACTCTCAGGAGAAGGGAAGTGAAGTAGGACAGGGCAGGGGAAATTGCTGAGCAAGGATGTGGGCTCAGCTGTAGCTCAGATTCAGTCTGACCCTGAGGGTGCCACAGAATTCATCCCATCTTCAGCAAGGACCATGACCCCTTCTGTTCACCTGGGCAGTTCTTTGCAGAAGGTGGCAGTTGTGGGCTGTCAACCACTGATAAAGGGCACCTTGGCAGCATCCACCACAGACTGATCCCAGGTTTCGTAATTTGAAACCTCACTGTAATAAACATTCTTGTACTTATATCTTCGGCATATTTATTCCATTTTTCTCCCCAAGAATGAATGCCAGAATTGCTTAGTGAAATAGGTTTTGTCTATAGCTTTTTTTCTTTTCTTTTTTTAAAAAAATATTAAGCTCTGTTCGTCTGCATAATATTTGAGAATATAATGCCAGGAGACTTTTTGTTATGTATTTGTTTTTTATGTTTTTGTTTCTTTCTTTTTTTTGTATTTTTAAGTGTGCAGTACATTTTCTTGTTTTAAAAAAATAACAGTGCAAACAATTACAATTTCTAGCCCTCCATCTTCCTATGTCCCATAAGTCATCACTGCTAATATTAGACATGGTCCTTGCAGATTTTTCAATGCATGTATGAACATATATTTATTTTTTTAAATATACAAGTGGGACCTTAGAATATAGATTTTTCTGAAACGTACTTTTCCCCCTTCTAACCTACAGCGGATTTCTTTATGCCCCTAACATGTAGAAGGTGCTCTCTCTATATCTGCTGAAAGAATGAAAAAAACATCAACCTCCTTTTTTAAAAGGCTCTGTAGGAGTCCACTGAACGGAATGAGTCACGGCCCCTGACTGGCCTCAGTGCTGCCTGGTGACCATGTCCATCTCCCCGGCCTGTTCACCCACCCATGCTACTCTCAGAAAACTTTGGCAACCTCTCTCCTCAACCCTTCAATGCCTCCTCCCCCATCTTCATTCTCAGTTAATGACCTTATTTCACTGAGAAAAGTGAAGTCACCAGAGAGAACATCTGCAAGCTGCCCCCTCCACAGCTGTCCATTGCTTGGCCTTATGTCCACTTTCTCAGTTTTCCATCCTGATGTGATAGATGAACTCTCCTTGCCAGTCTGAAGCCAACCCTTCTAGTTGGGCACTGGATGCCCTCCCTCCCTCTCTCTTACTCAAGAACAGATATTCCTTCAGTAATTCTCCACTCTCTCTATTGCACTGTCAAATTTTCCCATCAGCTAACAAACATGCTGTTATTTCTCCCTCTTTAGAAACAAACAAACAAGCAACCCCTCCTGATTGCACAGCTGCCTTCACCATGGTCTAGAGCAGTGTTCGCCAACCGGTGGTCCGTGAGGTCGGAAGGGTTGGAGACCGCTGGTCTAGAGCACAGCTCCTCAAAGCAGTTGTCTCTACTTTCTTCCCCTTCTCTTCTTCTAACATTTTACCAGGCCAATTTCCAAACACGTAAAAGGAGAGTGCAAATCCCCATGGCCCTCCTTTCATTCCTGGAATCCAAAGCAAATCCCAAAGAGTATGTCATTTCATGCTCTAAATACTTCCGAATGCATAAAAAACATAAAAATGATTTCCTTACACACCACAAAGTTATCAGCACACAAAACAAAATTAGCAATACTGTCTAATAACCAGTCTCAGTCAACTTTCTCCAATCTTCTACTTTGTTATAATGAGGATTCAAATAAGAGCCATTGTTTCTATTTGGTTGCTATGTCCCTTAAATCTCCTTTCATCTAAAACAACCCCCACTTATTTTTCCCATGTCACTCACTCTTTTGAAGAAACCAGGCCAGTTGCCCTGTAGAATGTTCCACATCCTAGATTTGGCTCATTGCTTCCTCGTGGTGTGGCCCAACGGTTCCTCTGTTCATTTTCTCTTGAACCCTCTCCAATAAGGCTTTGACACCCAATACTTCCCAGCAACTGCTTCTGTGAAGATCACCAATAGTAATGGCACATTACTAAATGTCATCATCAATTTAGCCCTCATCTTACTTGACACATCAGCAGCATCTGACTCTGTTGATCAGCCCATCTTCCTTGAAATGCTTTAATCATTTGGTTTCCAGGACACCATGCTCTAGATTTCCTCCTGCTTCACTGGGTGCTCCTCCCAGGCTCCAGGGCTGTGTCATTCCTCCGTCTAAATGTTGGAGCCCCAGGCTATAAACTGGCTATTGTCTCAACTATAAGAGGAGAAATAAGTGTGATGTTCTTCATTGAAAACATCACACTTATTTCTCTTCTTATGCCCCAATCTTGATCTGAGGTCAGTTACCTCCCATGAACTCGAGTCTCTCCACATGGATACATACAAGTCTCTTTAAACCTTATATGCCCAATTTTGAAGAAATTAGGGGGCCTTAAATATGGAGAAGCATTATATAAAACAGAAATTTGCTCACTTGGAAAGGTGGAGATCTTAAACTGAATTCCCAACTCTCCCCACAATTTCTCCTCCTCCAGACCTTCCACATCTCAGGGAGTGGCCGCTCCAACCTTCCAGTGACTCGGGCCAGAAAGCCTGCTGTCGCCCTCCACTCTACCCTCTCTCTTCTGTATCCCTTACCCAGGGCTTACCTTTAAAGATATCGAGGAACTGGCCATTTCTCACTACTTCCACCGCTGTGGGCAAAGAGCTGCACAGGAAATCCATGGAATAAGTAAATACAAATGGCCAAAGGACATCTGAAACGATGCTCATTTCACTGTCAGACACATGCAAATTAAACTCTGAGGTGTCACCTCTGCCCACCAGGTGGACAGAGTCCACTGAATGATGGCACTCAGTGTTGGCAAGTGTGGGGAGAAGCCGGCATTCTCACACACCACGGACAGTGCCATGAGGAGATCTCCTTAGAAGTGTCTCTGAGTGGCCTGGCCTCTCCCTGCAGTCCCTTTGCTGGACCTGGGCAAGAAGCTGAGCATGCCCCAGGACTTAATGATGGAGGAGCTATCACTACGCAACAATCGAGGATCCCTCCTCTTCCAGAAGAGACAGCGCCGTGTGCAGAAATTCACCTTTGAGCTTGCTGCCAGCCAGCGGGAGGTAAGACCCCATTGTGCTCATAGGGAAACTGAGGCCCAGAGAGGCCAGTGGTTTGCCTAAAACCAAATAGCCAGGTGAGGACCTCTGGCACCTGGGCAGTCCCTCAAGCTCCAGCTAGAGAGGGCTGTGACATTCCCATCAGACTGACCCCCTGCCTTGCTGTGTGAACCTAGAAGTTTTGTCTTCAATGCACATCTCTCTCCCAAGACAAAATATAACATGGAGTGGGCAGGGGGAGCTGCAGAGTGAGGGGGCTCCAGCTCCTACCAATAGTGCTGAAAAATAGTCATGTGTGCTGGGCTGAATTTGCAGCAAGCTAAATTTAGATTCGACCTGATCTAAGATGGAAAACACAGAATGCCCCTTTCTCTGCTTCCCACTGGAAGAAGGACAAGACCGCAGACCAGTCAGCTGGTAGAGAACGGAGGCAAGGATGCTTATCCTCAGGCTTCAAAAAGGCAGCAGGCAGTTTCGGCCACCCTAATGAACGCAGGGGCATCTCATCCGTACTCCACCCAATTTCTGGATGAGACAGGAGGCAACTGAGTTTTATGGCAGAATAATGAGGATAACAAACACTTACCTTTGCTATGTATCTAAGACACAGGTAGCTAAGAACTTAAATGTTACCAGCTCATTTTTCGCTCAAAAAGTGAGATTATCATCATCTCCATTTCACAGAGAGGGAAACTGAGGTTCAGGGAGGTTATTTGCCCAGGGTTGATATTATAGTAGCAACTATATACAAAGTATCTCTGTCCTGGGCACTGGGTTTAGGGCACTGCACAATTCACTCATAACCCTCCCCCCAACATCTCCAGGAGGTAGGTGCTAGGATTATGTGCCCCTCTTTTTTGTGGAGGGTGATCCCTGGCCCCTTGCCCACCCCTCACTCCCACTCCCAGACGGTGGCTGGAAGAGCACCTAGGGGATGGTGACTTGGAACAGCAGAACCAGGGACAGTGAGTGTGGAGGGAGATCCCACAAGAGGGGACGCTGGGTGATGGTGTCTGCAATATCAAGGCTATCCATTGCCCAGGTTGCCAACAGCCTGGAGTTGCAGAACTGCCACTCAGAGCTCCACATCTTCCCAGCCGGGGACCCTGAGGATGCCCAGCCTGAAGCTTCCCGGGTGAAGCGCGCCCCTAGCCCCAGCGCCCTGGCACCAGGTGAGTGGCCTCCCCAATCTGGACCAAGAAGAAGGGCAGGGTTATGGGGTAGGAATCAGAGTGTGGGCACGCTGCTCCACAGTGGGGCAGGAAGAGAGCCCAGAGCATCTAGTCCACCCCCTTCCCTATCCAAACACACACACCCCTCCATGGACCTAACCCAAGAGGAGCAGCAACGCACCCCAGATCACACAGCAAGTCAAGATTAGAAGCTGAACCTCAACTGGTAATTCCCCTACTCCAATCCTCCTTGTTCCCAGGGATGAGGAAGGTTACCTTTTGAGGGAATAACTTTTGGCATTACCCTCCCTGCCACACCCCATATACACTCCCCTTTCCCACCTTCGGTCTTCCCTCCCCCAACCCCTTTCTGAGGTGGGTGTGGGTGTGGGGGCCCAGGGAGAAAGGAACCCACATGCCCTGCTCACCTCCAGGCTATGCCGAGCCACTCAAGAGCATCCCGCCAGAGAAGTTCAACCACACGGTCATCCCCAAGGGCTACCACTGCCCATGGCAGGAGTTTGTCAGCTACCGGGACTACCAGAGCAATGGCCGAAGTCACACCCCCAGCCCTGCACAGTATCGAAATTTCAACAAGTAAGGCAGGGTGGGCAGCTTGGGGAGAGAGCGGGAGGGTGCACAGGTGCCAATCATAACCACAGCAGTAGCTGAATTTCCTGAGCACTTTCTACATGCCAGGCTGTATCTGAACACGTCATACACATTTATTGAGCGCTTGGCCTCAGCACATAGTAGGTCCTCAATAAATGTACAGGGACTGTGCCACACATCTCATTGGATCCTCCCCACAACAGGATTCTGCCTGTGAAGAGACCTGTTCAGAAATATCAGCAACCTGCCCAAAGTCCCAAAACAAGAACATGCAGGGCAGGGCTGGGGTCCAAGTCTGGGCTGTCCCCAGAGCTTGGTTTCTTGTTCTCCATCACTACTGTGTGCCCCCTCTTTGATGCTCATAGAGGTATGCGTCCTTCCTGGGTGGGACCCCCAGATCTCACCCGTCCTAGATAGCGCAGCCTGTTCCTCATTTTCATCAATGCCTAGGAAGTGGCTTTGAGGCTGCACCAAAGCAGGGAGTAGCAATGAGACGAACACTGGAGATGAGGGTCACAGAGGAGTGGTTTATACTGTTTACAGCATGGGGCCTCAACGTGGGCTTAAATGCAGATTCCTTATCTGACTGTGTGACCTTGGGAAAGTGACTTAACCTCTCTGAGCCTCCATTTCCCATCTGTAAAATGAGACTATTATTGTACCTACTTCATAAGATTGTTGTGAGGATCACATAAGAAGCCATAGCCAAAGTTTCTGGCAAGCAATAAGCTCTCAATAAACAAGAGCTGCTATTATTATCATTATTATTTACAGGTTGAAATGATAGTTGGAAAAGCTAATGGGGAATAAAAGGATATATTTAACATTCTGCCCTGAGGGCTCAGAAACAAATCGTAGGGATCAAGACAGGAGCTTGGCACTGGAGGAAGACCTTGGGCTGGGGGATAGATTTCAATTGCAATTGGCTTCCTCAGACTGATGCTATTTCTGAAAAATGCTCCTCTGGCTTGGACCACAGTAAGTGTGAAAATGGAGGGTCCGTGGAGAGGAGGCCACAGTCCAGCTCTTCTGGCATCTGCTCAGACCACACGTGGAGACTATGTCTGTCTGACAAAAATTGATGGGTGGCGCCAGGGCCTGGAGACCAGGCCCCCTGAGGAAGAGCTGAAGGAACTGGGGGTGATGAGCTTTGAAAGGAGACTGCTGAGGTGGCATGTGACTGCCCTCTAAGTCAGGGAGGGCCTTGATGGAAAGAATTATACCCAACGGGTGTTGTGTGAGCCATGAGCCATTGGCAGATGTTCTGGGGTCTCTCGCCAGCCAGGCCTGTGCTCTCTCACCTCCTGGGGCCGTCAGACCCTGCCTGCCCAGCTATTTAAAACCCTCAGCAGACATTCAGTCCTGACAGCCAGCTTCCAGGCTGGCCAGCTCAGGTTGCAGCCCCATCCATCTAAACCTCAGGTATGACAGACAGGCACATTCTCACCAGCAGAAGCGTCTTAGGGAGCCCTGAACCTAGATCCTTCTGGGGCAGAAGGGCCAACTGAGGCAGACTGAGGAGGAACAGCAGTGTTGGTGGCCAAGCTGTGCTCAGGAGCCAGGTCTCTGGGCTCCTAGTCAAGGGTCCAATTGTGAGGCTTGCATTGGCTTGGAAACATCCCAGCCTGTCCCTAGGGGGCCTGGCTGTTGCTGCCACAGCTGGGGTAGTCCAAGCAGAAACCCTATCTCGGCTGGAACCCAGGCCCTGGCCCAAGTTTTGCCTTTCCACCCCAGGGGCAAGCACTCTCCTCTTCCCATTGAGCCCAGCTTGTGGAGAAAACAGCACATGATCAATGCTTTTTATTTCTCTTAAAATTAAAGAATAGTTTTAAAGTCACATACTTACATTCTCTTAAAAACTAACTATGCAACTACAAAAGAAGGGTTTCTTTGTCCTCAATCCCAGTTTCCTTTCCAAAGGTAACACTGTTGTCAGGTTGGTGTGTAAGTTTTCAGAACATTTCTAAGAGCAGCCACATACCAATAGGGGATATAGCATTGTTTTGTGTGTATACATGTGTTTTAATACTTTGCATCTTTTTGTAACTTGCTTGCTTTTTTCACTCAACATTCGCTTTTAAAATCTACCCTACTTTATATTGATCTTTTAATTCCTTTTGAGCTCCTGTATAATATTCCATCATGTGACTACACTACTTCTGTTGTGTCCGTTCCTCTGCCAATGGACCCTGGGTTGTTTCTGGCTTGTCACTAATCCCTGCTCGTATCTGCTTCCTTGTGCGTATGTGCATGCGCTTCCCGAAGCCATATGCTTACAGGTAGAGTTGCTGGATGGCAGAATTTGCATATTTTCAGATTAAAATGATCCTGCTAAACTATCCTCCAATGGAGCGGCACCAGTGTGCCCTCCAAACAGTAGTATATGAGTGAAGCTCTGCCCCGTTATCCAATCATTTCTTTTTGCCAGTCTTATGGTTAGAAACGCAGGTCTGTTGTAATCTGCACTTCCCTGATCCTCAGTGCTCTTTCTCAGCCTCCCCTTTTACTTCAGTTTGTGGCATGTTTCTCTGAGGAGAGATGAAAAGACAAAGGAAACACCCTGTTCCAACTCTGCTGCCTTCTGGAGCTTGCTTATGGAGAACCTAGAGTTCTGCTTAGGACAAGCCAATCCCAACTCTGAAAACTTGGCTCCAGTTTCTAAGCAACAAGCCATCCCAACTAGGGGCAGAGCTAGAGAAACCTGTTAAAGGTAGTGCAAAGCCTTGCTGTACAGAAGGGAAAACTGAGTCCCAGAGAGAGGCAGGGAGAGGCCCCACCTAGACCCGTATGTCAGTGTGCTGCCATCGTGTTCCTTCCCAGCCCACCTCTCCTGCTGCTCTTCTTCCCCTAGGACCCCCGTGCCGTTTGGAGGACCCCTGGTGGGGGAGACCACGTCCAGGACAGGCACCCCCTTCCTCCCAGAGCTCACCAGTGGCTTGGAACTTCTCCGCCTCAGACCCAATTTCAACAGAGTGGCCCAGGGCTGGGTCCGCAACCTCCCAGAGTCTGAGGACCTGTAGCCCCAGCCTCCAGTCCCCGGTCTCAGAGTTTGGGGAATACCAGGAGCCAAGATTTGTGGACTGCACTTCACAGTTTACAAAGGGCCTTCACACAAAACCTATTGCAAATGGCCTCAAAGGTCACAAAGTTCGGTAGTTCACAGATAATGGGGTTTAGAAAGTTTTTCCTTTTACTGAGATGCTGTTGTCTTTATTCATGCTCTAACATTTACTAAGCACCTACTATGTGCTAGACATTGTGACAGCTCCATGCAGAGGAGTCTGGTCCCTGACCTAGAGTAGGAAAAGATAGTAGGGAAGACAGATTTATAAAGCAGTAAATTATCTTAATTTTTCCTAAAGCACCTGAAAAACAAAATGTAGTGAGGCAGGGGAGGGCATCTTGAACCCTGGGTGTGTGTGTGGGTGGGGGAGAGGGGGATCAATTCCAGGGGATTTGAACAGGACTTCAGAGGAGGAGTAAGAGTCAATTAAGGGAAGAGGGTGTGCTCCAGGGGAGGCACTCTTAGCCAGTGGACCAGGGTAAGCTGGAAAGGTGGAGAACTGCCATAGGGCAGGGTGTTCCGGAGCAGGGAGAGCCTGTGTTTAAGCAGTCGGTGACTCCTTGGAACAGTGGTCGCCAACCGGTGGTCTGCGGACCACTGGTGGTTTGCGAGGTCCAAAAGGTTGGTGACTGCTGGTTTAAGGAAACCTTTGGAACAGCGTCGCCAACCGATGGTCCGTGAGGTCCGAAAGGCTGCCTTAGAAGGCCAGGTTGGGGTAAGCTGCAGTAAGAAAATGGGGAAGGTTCTTAAGCTGGGGAGTCAAGGGTCTCAGTGGTTGCTATGTGGGCACAGATTGGAGTCAGGAAGCCTTCCAGGAGCAAGGCCTGAACTAGGGAGGTGGCCACGGGGATGGGAAGAAGGGACACCTCCCTGGGCACCTTGCAGGACAGGTGCAAAGTGGAGAACCTGTAAAGACTCCTTCCCACCTCCTTCTGCTCACCACTCTGAGCAGGCCTTGGGTAGATCTTGCCTAGTTTCCTATTGGAGTCATTCAGGGCTCTACTCTGGCTCACTAGGAAGAGGAGAGAAAGGAATGCCTTAGTTCAAGTGGTAATGAGGATGTGGTGATGATGATGGCGGCTTTTTATTGGATGCCTCAGTGCTTCAGCTGCTAGGAGGTTCTCTATACATCCAATTTCTAAAATTCAGTACAACCCTAAAAAAAAGTATTGTCCCATTTTACAGATGTGAATATCCAGGCTCAAAAGGAGAAAAGGGCTTGTCCAGGGACAGAGCCAAAATAGATACTGTCCTATTCCAGTGGATGTCTTTTTGTACTGGGTGGCCAACCCATTGCCCGCTCACTCTGGAATCACCTCTTAATAGTGCCCTGCCTTAGAGTTTAGAGGTTAAGAGTGCAGGCTGGGAAGTCAGACTGAATGGGATGGTTCTAATTGCCACTTCCAGCCATTTCTCCCCTGTGGGCCTCTGTTTCTCACCTGTAAGATGAGGACAAGAATAGTAGCCCCTGTAAGGGGTTGTTGCGAGCACAATGATGGACACATACATAATGAGCGCTAGATCATTAGACTTCATGCAACTACTGCTCTGAACTGAAGAGATGATCTTGCAGTGGATGCAGCTTGAGAAGCAGGCCTAGGATGAGACTGGAGGGAAGGAAGCCTCTGATCACTGCAGGCTCCCTTGGCCCATGAATCACCTCTTCCCCTTGCTTCCACCCGCCTCTTCCCCGACCCCATTTCTCTTGAGGAGATGAGAAGGCCAGGAATCCATCTGGTTCCCAGGGCATGTGGGACAGCGGTTACCTTTACCTTCTGCTCTGGACTTTCCCTGTGTCCCACACAGTCTCAAGGGGCAGCAGTCTGACTCTTAGAATTGTTTGCAATCAATGTGTCTTGAATTTGGGCACTACTGTTTAAAGCCATGTTTCCATGCGCTGAAAACCAACCATTAAAGTGTCCTAAACAAAGAAGAGCATTACGACCACCTTAGGTTGGCTCTGCCGTGCTCTGGAGGGTAATGGCAGCCACCACAGCACAGCTGACAAGAGCCTGATGGGGAGCCTGCTACATCCAAAGCAAATCCTCATTCCTTTCTTCTTTCGATAATATGACTTTCACTGATGTTGTTTTAAAAAAAAGAAAGAATTCTTACTGTAAAGATTAATATACAAACAAATAAAGGAAAAAGTAAAATGTGAAGGTATCTGCCCACATAGCTCCTCCCCTACAACACAGACCTTCCCGCCCTCCTGCACCCTGCCCCATTCCCACATACCATAGGTAACCACTGGTAGCAGCTTGGTGCTTCTAGAATTCTAGGATTATTTGAAGAGATAAATATGTACAGTGTATAGCTGCGTAAGTGCAAAGACATGTTTTTGTTTTCATGGGATCATACTGTATTATATTGTATTTTGCTTCTTTATTCAACAATAAGTAAAATGTGGATCCTGAAAAAGCCATGTCATTAACCTTTCATGTAATTTAAGGGCCCAAAACCCTTCATATAAAACCCAATACTTTTGCCTGTTTTGTTCTTTATGTAAATGAAATCATAGTGATATGGAAATGAAAAGGACCGAGACCAGCCAAAGCATTGGGAACCTGACATTAGACATAGCAGCCCTAAACATGAATGAACTACAGTTCCATGCAGCAATACAGAGACATTTCAGAAATAAAGTGGTAAGCAAAGGGAGACAGGTCCATATGCATATGTTTAGTGATGCAAGGCAGTGTTAAATAAAGTCAGGGTAGTGGTAACTTTGGGGGAAAGAAAGGGTTGTGCTTGTGAAAGGACAAACTTCTGTGAGAGCTGGACATTTTCTATTTCTATGATTGTGACACAGACATTGACTTTAAAATACTTAATTTAGTTGTAAATTTGTGTTTTATGCACTTTTCTGTACATATGTTATATTTTACTAAAATAATCCCTCCTTTTAAAAAAGTTAATAGATTAGTAGCAGATTAGATGAACACGAAGAATTAGTGAACTAAAATCAGCATTAAATATACTTGAAGAATTTGCAAACCCCCACAATGGGATGAAATGGACAAATTCTTAGAAAAATACAATCTCCCAAATCAAATCAGGAAGAATCAGAAAACCTGAATAGGCCAATAACAACTGATGAAATAGAAGCAGTAATCAAAAAAGTCCCAGCAAACAAAAGCCCTGGTCTGGATGCATTCACAGAGGAGTTTTACTAAATATTCAAAGAAGAACTAACACCTATCCTCCTCAAACTATTCCAAAAAATCCAAGAGGGGGGAACACTTCCAAGCTTTTTATGAAGCCAGCATTATCCTACTTTCAAAACCAGATAAAAACACTATATAAAGAAAGAGAATTACAGGCCAATATCCCTGATGAACATAGATGCTAAAATCCTCAACAAAATATTAGCAAATTGGATCCAGCAATATATTAAAAAGGTCATACACCAGGACCAAAGGGGATTTATTCCAGGATGCAAGGCTGGTACAATATTCGAAAATCAATGAACGTGATATATCACATGAACAAATTGAAAGACAAAAATCACATGATCATATCAATAGATGCAGAAAAAGCATTCGACAAAATCCAACACCCATTTTTGATAAAAACGCTCAGCAAAGTGGGAATAGAGGGAGCATATCTCATCATAATAAAGGCCATATATGACAAAACTACAGCCAACATCATACTCAATGGGCAAAAACTAAAACCATTTCCCCTAAGAAAAAGAACAAGACAGGGATGTCTGCTTCACCACTCTTATTCAACATAGTACTAGAAGTTCTAGCCACAACGATCAGATAAGAAGAAGAAATAAAAGGCATCCAAATTGGAACGGAGGAAGTAAAACTCTCATTATTCGCCGATGACATGATATTGTATATTGAAAACCCCAAAGACTCCACCAAAAAACTACTAGATTTAAGAAATGAATTTGCCAATGTAGCAGGATACAAAATCAACACCCAAAAATTGATAGTTTTTTTATACACCAATAATGAATTCTCAGAAAGAGAAACTAAACAAACAATCCCATTTACCATTGCAAAAAATAAAATAAAATTAAGATACTTAGAAATAAACTTAACCAAAGAGGTAAAAGACTTGTACTTGAAAAACTACAGGACTTCGTTGAAAAAGAGATAGAGGAAGATATAAACAAGTGTAAGAATATATGGTATTCATGGACTGGTAGAATTGACATCATTAAAGTATCCATACTACCCAAGGCAATCTACAGATTATATGTAATCCCCATTAAAATACCAACAACAGCCCTGACCGGTTTGGCTCAATGGATAGAGCGTCGGCCTGCAGACTGAAGGGTCCCGGGTTCGATTCCGGCCAAGGGCATGTGCCTTGGTTGCGGGCACATCCCCAGTGAGGAGTGTGCAGGAGGCAGCGGATCGATGTTTCTCTCTCATTGATGTTTCTAACTCTCTATCCCTCTCCCTTCCTCTCTGTAAAAAAAAAAAAAATCAATAAAAATATAAAAAATAAAAAAAATAAAATAAAATACCAACAACATATTTGCTAGAACAAATACTCCAAAAATTTATATGGAATCAAAAAAGACCCTGAATAGCTGCAGCAATCTTGAGAAAGAACAAAGTTGGAGGAATCACAATACCAGATAATCAAGTTTTACTACAAAGCCACCATAATCAAAACAGCCTGGCACTGGCACAAGGACAGGCATATCTATATAATAAAAGCCTAAGCGACCCTTACGGCAGAACAACCAGAATGACTGGTCACTATGGTGGTCAGTGTGCTCCCACAGGGGGAGCGCTGCTTAGCCAGAAGCCAGCTCACTGTGGCAGAGGCAGGAGCCTCTCCAGCTTCCACAGCAGCACTAAGGAGCAGTGAGCCAAGCGGTCAGGAGCAGCGAGCAGGCAGGCGGTAAGGAGCGAGGGGTCCCAGACTGCGAGAGGGATGTCCGCCTGCCGGCTTAGGCCCGCTCCCCCCCGCCCCCCGAAAGAGACCCCAGAAATCAACCCAAGGCATTACACTCAATATTTGACAAAGGAGGCAAGAACATA